AAAAAAAAAAAAAAAACCAGGACAGAAAGCTCTTAGACAAGCATGTAAAAATTCTCCACTCTCGCTGGGCATGGAGGATTCCATAGTTAGCAAGATGCTTCTGGCCCTCAATGAGCTTGGTGGGGTGACAGCCAAGAAAAATCATGACATGAGAAGTACTGTGAAAGAAAAGCATGTACGGTATTACGGGACCTTGGAGACAGGGTGAACAGTTGTTGAAAAAGAGAGGGTGGAAAACTTCAGAGAAGAGGCATCAAATAGCTGGGGTCTTGAAAGATGAATAGATGTTTGCTGGCGGTAGGGAAGTCACTCCAGGAAGAGGAAATGGCATGATCAATGGCACAGAGTTGAAAAACTTTGGCTGATTTTGGTGAGAAGTTCTGGTTCTCACGGAGTCTAGAGAGGAATGCTGGTGAAAGTTGGTATTTTGATATTTGAAAGAGTGGACCGTAGATTGAGAAAAGTCTGGAACACCATTCTAAGGAGTCTGGACTTCAGTGTGGAGGAAATGAAGTGTCCCTTAAAGATTTTAAGCTGGGGAGTCAGAAAGCTGGATTATTGCTCTACAGAATTAACTCGAGCTGTGGTGTGGAGGAGGACCAAGAGGACACAGAGACTGAAGACTGGCGGACCAGTTAGAAGGCTATGGATAGATCCACTTGTCTTTTCCATGTCCCTCAGAATATTTTTAGTACCTAAAGCATGTAAACTGTAAGCAACATTAACAGATCCATGATGCCTGCCTTTGTAACGTGTTCTGGAATTAGCTCAACATTCATATGGCACTTGAGTCTTGTCCAAACAGTGCAAGAATATAGATTATGACCTCAAATGCTGAATCTGTGTACTTTCAGAGCACTTCATCGTAAGGAATATGAAGGGTTCTTCAAAGGCATCAGTTACTGGTGTTCCAAAATCAGATAATCCACGCTCAGGAAAAGACTACAAAATGCATCTGTCAAATATTGGAAAGAGAAAGGCAGTACAACAGTAAGTAGCCATCTTTCGCCCTTTATCATTTTCCACTACTGGTCAGTTTCCATACCGTGTTTACCCAGCTAACATCAAACACTTCTTGTTTTGTAAATTAGAGGGTTTTTTGTGTGTTTTAAAATTACTTTTGAACTGAATAGTAATTATTATAATTATAGTATTTCATAATTTGCAAAGCATGTTAACACACATTTCTTTGATTCTGACAACTCTGTGAAGCAGTCTTATTATTACATTTTATAAGTGAGGAAGCAGCAACTGGGAGAAGGTAAGTGATTTGCATAAGGTTAAACGGCTAATAAATGGCATCAGCGATGATTTAAAGCTTTGTTTCCATATGTCAGGACTTTTCTACTCTACATCTTATAGTCTGCATTTTGCCAGCCAAGGGTGACATTATACAGGAGTATCTACCTCTCTTTACATGTAGCCCTGTGAGGGGCAAGGATGGGATTGGGGGCTTTTGGAGAGGGTGATCCCTACAATCTGCTAGTGCTGAGATGTGATCCAAAGTAAGATAATTCTCTGACCTGACTGGGATGAGTCTGTTTCAAGCGAAGATTAGAAAAAGGAGTTTCTTTTTTTAGGGCCTGGTTGTCTGTTCCCAGAAAAGAATTGGACCTACTGTAACTTTGAGTATTCTACATTCTATTTTCATAGCACTTGGACTAGTTGGACAGTGTTCTTAAGAACTAACTATAATGGAATCATTTTAGGTCATGGATGTTTTTAGAAAGCAAATTTGTCTCTTCTTACATTTTTAGTTATATATGCCTTTTGCTGATAAAGTTTTAGCCAGGACTTTTTTAATCCCAAGGGAAATATTCTCAAATATCTTGTATCCTCATTCTGACTGGATTCTGCAAATGACCAGTTCCAATTACCACATCCAAATGTTCTTCATTAGGTCAGTCTTAGGGTAGGGGACGGGAGGGTGCAGGGGGAAGAAGCATAAATTCAGAGCTCCCCAAGATTTTAGGAAAATGAAAACTACTTCATTAATGTTAACCTCTTGTTTTTCTTCTCAGAGCTAGTGAAGATACTTCAGCTCAAAGGATCCAGAGAGCTTGGTTATCTCATATGGACAAAACAATATTTCAACTCCTAAAGCACACAGTTTGTGCGGCGGTATGTATTTTGCTTTTTGTTTTCTCTGACAGATCTAATTACTTATAAGCTAAAAGGTCTGTTAAGTGAAGATAAAATACAAAACCTTTTTTATCTCTTCTATTTGAATCTAATAATAGTGCATGGGGTTCTGGGATTGCTTCTTTGGTTAGCCCTAAATGAATATTTCTGGATTTATTTGTAAATAATGTAGGTGACTGTTATTTCTTTTTTCTGAAACCAAAATGATGTTTTTAAAAAATTCAATTTCTTATTTGAAGATGTGGGACACTGATCGTCCAACAAGAAAAATCTCTGAATTAAAAGTGCCCTTACCTTCACCCAACAATTTCACTTCTGGGAATCCGTTATACAATATATGTACAACTTCATTGCAGTAACTTCTGGGAATCCGTTATACAATATATGTACAACTTCATTGCAGTATTGTTTGTAATAGCAAAGAAATAAACCATATAATGTCCAACAGTGGGATGCTGGTTAAATAAGTGTTGGCGCTTTCATGGTGTTAAACCTTGCAGCCTTGTATGTGATTCTACAATACAAAGATAGCTAAGATATCTCATTAATGAAAAAGGCAAGTATAGAACAGTATGAATAATATGGTCCTATTTAAGTAAAAGAAAAAAAACCCCTAAGGTGCACAACCCCTCACTTCCCCCCCCAAAAAAACAACTCTGGCAATGCTAGCAGAGTATAGAAAGCTTTCCTTCATATAATATCAAGTATTCTAATAAAATCACCTATGATTATAATAGTTTATAATTAGTAATAGCCACATTAAGGTAATTTTAGCAGCTCTGAAAAAAATCATGAAGTCTGAGCAGTATGTACACTTCTTCACCATCTGACCCACAGACCCATTTCTGATGCCAGTAAAAGCAGAATACCTCAGAGAAAACCCACTCAGGTAAATAGGTGACATTTCAGGTCCATAACCCATTGTCTTCACATACAGAACTTGCATTTAATTATCATAATACTGGTTTTGTTATAACTTTAGATGCTTATAATAACAGAAAGAAGGAAAATTAATTCTTTTTTAAAAATCTGTTATCCTAACACTTCAAGTTCCTACCTGACATTAATAATGATTTGTCATTTTAAAAGCCCTTTGGTGTACATTTTTATGTGATTGTCATAGGCATAAAGGTTGGCAGGGTCATGTCGTGGGGCTTTAGAGTCAAAGAGACCTATGTTTGCATCCTGGCTTGTCCACTTACTACCTGTATGCCTTTGAATAAGTTACAGACACTCCCAGAGTCTCAGCCTGCTCATTGGAAGGATGAGAATGATAATATTTGAATAATATTGCTGAGTTGCAAGGATTAAATGAGGTTATGTCTATAAGGCATGTAACAGAGTGTGTGGTATATAAAAGGTACTTAAAAGCTAGTAACATTACTATTATCTTCCTCATTTTACAGTGATGATTCATTCAACATCAAATACTTGCTCAGCAAGTATTTGGAACACCTGCTGTGTTCCAAGGACTGTATTAGATGCTAGGCATACATGGTAAAGAAGAAAGACATGATCAGTACCTTCATGCAGCTTACAGTCTAGTAGAAGACACAGATTAGTTCATAGTTAATTATAATACATGGTGGAAAGTGTTGTCATAGGGAAAGAACAGTGGTCAAGGAGGGACACCTACTCCAACTTGGAAGTAACTGACTCAGGGTTACACAGTTGATAAATGGAAGAGCCAAGACTAGAACCCAGGTCTTCAGAACTCCAAGCCTGGTATACGGTTCACTTTACCATGCCACCTCTGTTATTCTCAGTAAATTACATCTGGGCTGGGTACCATTTTCCATTTATAGCATCATCATCTATTTCAGGAATGTTGTGTGACACATGAAATACTGAAGAAAGTGAGCCCCTTAGAGGCTGAGCTCCTGAAAGATCCTAGCATGAAGTGTAAAGTTAGATTCAGGTAATATTTCTATGCTAATTTATTTCAAGAAGCACCTGTTAAAATGAAGAAACCTTAGAAATTTATTTTCTCAAGTCCTCATACGTTTTCAGGGTATAATTACAGAGTAAATGTGTTATTCTTATTTACATTTACTTTTTCTTTTTTTTTTAAGATTTTATTTATTTATTTGAGAGAGAGAATGAGACAGAGAGAGCATGAGAGGGGGGAAGGTCAAAGGGAGAAGCAGACTCCCCGCTGAGCAGGGAGCCCAATGCGGGACTCGATCCCGGGACTCCAGGATCATGACCTGAGCCAAAGGCAGTCGCTTAACCAACTGAGCCACCCAGGCGCCCTCTTATTTACATTTATTATGTGAGGAAACTGAGGCATGACTCTTGGGCCAAAAGTTGCCTTGAGAGTGGCTTATCTCCCATGATGTGTCCAGTGTGACACGTGAATGAGAATAATTGTGAGTGCACCACACTCCACTGTGGCTCTTTCATCTCTGGAATCCATATCATTGCCCATTCTTTCCGTGCTCTGGCAGAGCCTTTACCCTGCATGCAGGAAACTATGGGAACTATCTGAAGTATAGGAGGAGAAGTAACTAAGCCCCAAGCCTGATGCCAAATCACTAATTTTTGGTCTTTATTTCAGATTTAGTGGTGAAACATTTCCACCTTTCATCGTATTTAAAATTTTTCTTCATACTGAAGGCCATGGTAACAAGTATTTCAGCGGAAAAAGATTATTTAAGCCATCAAATGAGGTGATGTTTCATGATGTATATTTTATGTTGCTTTATTTTTTAAAGATTTTTATTTATTTATTTGAGAGAGAGAGAGAGATAGCGACAGAGAGCATGAGCGGGAAGGAGAGGGAGAAGCAGGCTCCCCACTGAGCAGGGAGCCCAATGCGGGGCTCCATCCCAGGACCCCGGGATCACAACCTGAGCCAGAGGCAGATGCTTAACCGACTGAGCCACTCAGGTGCCCCCATTTTATGTTACTTTCGCTTCTTAACATCTATATAGTATCTGAATTGCATTCAAAGTGGACAAACTAAGTGTTTTCACCATTAAACGGCCCAGCAGCCAGGTAGTATTTTTTTTAATCATCATGTTTCAGGGTGTCTCTGTTTATTAGCAAAAAAAAAATATTTGGAATGAATTACTTTTAGAGGCCCTTAAAAATACTCATCACTTTTCTTTCTATTTAATTTTGGTTTGTTCATGAGAGACTCTTAACTATGGGAAAGAAACTGAGGGTCGGTGGAGGGGAGGTGGGTGGGGGGATGGGGTAACTGGGTGACGGGCGTTAAGGAGGGCACGTGATGAGATGAGCGTGGGTGTTATATGCAACTGATGAATCACTGAACTCTACATCTGAAACTAATGATGTTCTATATGTTGGCTAATTGAATTTAAATTAAAAGAAAAAAAATTAAATTTTGGTTTATTAATAATGGACTAAAGTGGCCCATTGGTCAGGGCTTTTAAATTATGCAGGACATTTGATGCAATTTTATTTTAATGACATTTTATCATGGTTTCTTTGATTCTGGTAGCATATTTAGAAAAAAAAGTGTGCTGGACTATGGATTGAAAATGAACTTTTCAAACATTTATCCTTCTTTATATGATTTCTCATACTTTTAAGTTTCATATATATTTACCATAATTGTGTCTACAGCAGAGGAATCAGCTGAGAATCTTGTTAAAATTTTCTGGTTCATTAGATCTGGGAAGAGACCTGAGATTCTGCATTTCTCACCAGTTCCACGGACCCCACTTTTAATAGCAAGGCTCTGCATGCTACTACAGTGTAGGTTTTGCTCCTTTGGCCCTTAAACGTGACTATAATTGAGGGGGAACATGTGTGCATTCTCGTACTTAGCCTTTTATAAATCATACATCAAAGGTTATTTTCCCGTAGCCTTCTGGAGATATTTTACATGAAAAGTATGGCCCATCCAAAATCATCAGTAATGGCACGTGTTCAGGATAGACCACTCAGCCTGGGAGTTTCTGATCAGATCCAGGATATACAGCATTTATTCTCTGAAGAATATTAGAAAAGAAAAAGAGACTGCTTTTCTCCGTGTTCTCAGACAACATCAGAGAACATTTCATTCAGTTTCAGAATATATCAAATGGACTCTGTGTTTTCATATGGAATATGGTGTTCTGGAAACATTAGTATTCGTTCATTTATATAGAATGACTTCACATGCAAAAGTTGATATTTATCCTACGCTCAAGGAATAAATTCATGCCACATTTATGTACAGAATAAGCTTATCATTCCTATAAAATATCATCAATTGTTGCTTTTCTGAGATTGCCTGATGAGACTGTTCCAGGAACAGAAATTCTCCTGGGTCAGCTCCTGGTGGCCCCTACTGTCTGCAGGCCGGAGCAAATGAGAAACTTTAAGGCTGTGACTGGAAAGGACTGTGTGTATATTAAAACTCATTAAAATGCTGTATAATAACTTTAGTTTTTATTTAAATTACAAAGTGACTGTTGGGAAAAAAAGAAATAGCACAGAGATTTTTAAAAAAGGAAACTGTGCCTCATGCCTTTCTTCTCTGTGCTGTGACTTTCACTCATCTGGAGTGAACACTGTTAATAGTTTACTGTGTATCCTTCATTTTTTTTTTGCCCATAAAAATGCTCACACAAATATGTTCTTTAAAAATTTTTGTTCTTATTATAAAAATGTGGTAACACTGTTTAGTTTGAGTTTTTCACTAAACATTCTGAGAGGATTTAAATGATGAGAACATGAAAGAACAGATTAGGATTCCTTTTTCAGCTTTGTAACAAACTGGCAACACTTGGATTCACGGTTGATAGAAAACCTGTAGGAGAATTTTTCTCACTATAAGTTTGCATCAGTCCTTTGAATGTAGAAATTGTGTGTTGAGCAAACTGATCCAACTTTCCTAAGTTCACTTCTTTCTCTTTTTTTTTTTTTAAGATTTTATTTTTTTTTAAGTAATCTCTACGCCCATCGTGGGGCTCAAACCCACAACCCCAAGATCAAGAGTCTCACAGTCTACCGACCGAGCCAGCCAGGAGCCCCCACTTAATTCTTAGTATGAAATAAATAAGTCAGTTTTAGTTCAGACGTGTAATTTAAGTTCACTGATGAACACAGTTTTGTTGTTGTTCTGTCTTTTCCCTGGTTCTTACTTCCAATTCTAGTTTCATTTCCTTATCATTTCCCAACAGTATTTCTCAAGTATTTACACACACACACACACACACACAGTAAAAACAAGTGAAAGGACATAGAATAGCCTAAACCGCTTTAGAGAAGAAGAACAAAGGTTTCCATTACCTGACTTCCAGGCTTAAAAAGCTGCAGTGATCCTGACAGTGTTGTGATGGCTTAAAGATAGACATGTAAATCAATGAGATAGAATAGGGAATTCAGAAATATACGCACTCATAGGTGATCAGTTGATTTTCATCAAATGTACCAGGTCAGTTCAAATGGTGCTAGAACAATTGGATAGCCATGTGTACAAAAAAGAGATCTCGTTTCAGTTACCTACTTCGATGATCTATTTTCAGAGCAATGCTTATTTACAGAGGGTTGTCACTATAGTTCATCCTCCAGCTATATTTAGAATATTCTAAAGCCTTGCTACTCAGTGTGGTCTACAGACCCACAGCACTGGCATCCCCTGGAACTTATTAGAAATGTGGACTATCAGCCCCCACCCCAGACCCACTGAATTAGCACCTGTGTTTTAACAAGACCCCCAGACGATCCTAGGCACAATATAGTTTGACAAGCACTGTCATAAAGGTGCCCCCCACCAACACACACCGTGGCCTGGAATGCCTCCGGGTAATCGACAGTTCTGAAACATTAATGTCCAGCAACCATTCGTTTAAAGTGAAGATCCCTGTTCTTTTTGAGGATTGGGCATTTATGTAAAAAGGAAAAACATTATTATTAATAATAGCTGCCCTTGGGCGCCTGGGTGGCTCAGTTGGTTAAGCGACTGCCTTCGGCTCAGGTCACGATCCTGGAGTCCCGGGATCGAGTCCCGCATCGGGCTCCCTGCTCGGCGGGGAGTCTGCCTGTCCCTCTGACCCTCCTCCCTCTCATGCTCTCTGTCTCTCATTCTCTGTCTCAAATAAATAAATAAAATCTTTAAAAAAAATAAAAAAAAAATAATAGCTGCCCTTATTGAGCACTGTCAAGTACTGTGTTAAACATTTTGTGGGCATTATCATTTAATTCTCATAAACTCTAGAATGTAGATTCTGTGGCTGTCTTCCGTTTGAAAAGACTGAGTCACTTGCCTAAGGTCTCACAGCTAGAAAGGGAAGGAACCGATATCAAAACCCAGTGATCCTGATTCCAGAGTCCGTGCTCTTAACCACTCTTGAGTCAGGAAGCCTGCTCAATATGTTCTCTTATACGGCCCCCTGATAACTCCAGTGAGGTACATGTTATTCCCATTTTTGCCTGTGAGGAAGCTGGAACTCGGAGAGGCTTGTCAGGGCCAGAACTGAGGCTTCTGTCCGCCGCCCTGTGCCCACTTCGCGGTTGAAACAACCCCAGCAGGTGTGCTGCTTTCATGAATTTGGAGCCCGCATATAACTGAACTGCTCCAAACCAGGAAACTCGGTGCCTGTGCAGGGATATTAGTTATTGCTACCTTCGCAAGTGAGAATTTCCAGCCGGGCGGGGAAGTGACTTGAGATAGTAGAGTAACTTCACGAGCGCAGGTGTGGATCTAGGCCAGCACGGAGCTGCAGGCCTGTGGGGGCTTCTGGGCCACAGTGATGCTAGGTATCGGGGGAGGTGTCAAATTTAGAGATGCCCCCCTTTGACCTTTTGAGTCACCCACTAAGAATGGAACCTGCCTCTTGAATCCTAGCCTGATTGGCGGCTATCCTGGGCTCCGTGCCCAGTTTCCGCCCTTCCCTGTCACCTGGGGCTGGGCCCTTCTTAACCATCCCTTCCGACCCAGAAGCACTTTCCTGAAGCTGGCCATCTCCAGCAGATGCCGGAGAAAGAACATCCTGGCCGTTGGAGGGCAAACTTTTTTCAAGCCCCTGTCGCAAGTGGGCAGCGAGCCTGCCCCACGCTGCCAGGCACAGGGATTTTTTGGCTGGATACCGGGATGGGCCTGACACAGCTGAGCCCTACAGCTGAGGCACTGTACAAATAAGGAAACTGGGGCTTGGAGAGGTTGTGGGTGGTGGCTGAGGGGAGTAGAGTGGGGAGGGACTGACAAGAAATACCCTTACGGAGTAACTTGAGCTAAAGTAAAATACAGTTATAGCTAAAGAAATTCTCAAAGCAGAAATTGTACAGTTTTCAGACGTGTTCTCTGTACAGTTTATTTGCTTTTACCTTTGGTGTTACTGTGAGAATGGTTAATGAGAGCCCACAGGAAATTAATTGCAAGAAAGCATAATGGAGACACGTGCCAACACTGCCTTCTCTTTAAGATGCGTGCTGTGTGAAGAAACTAATGAAATGGAAAACAAAGATGATCTGCCTAAAGGAAGGTTCATCACATAAACAGTTTCTGTCCCTTCAGTTTAGTGCATTAGGAATAGAACTACAACCATTTGAGTATTCTTCCATTTTCCATGTGTGTCCATGTTCAAAGCTTTGGAATTCGAAAAATAAATAAAAAAGGAATAGTCTCAATAACAAAAGTAAAAATGAAATGGAAAATACATTCAGGCTCATTCTTGTATTGTGTGTTAAGTAAAAAGAACACATTCCAAATTTCGATCTCATCTCAAGTGGCCTCATATCAGCATTATAACCTGGAGTTCCCATGCTTTCACAAATACACATTCTGAGATACAAAGGGGAAGAGAAACTGATCTGGAACCCAAAGGTATTTGAATTTTCATCTAAGCCAGTCTCCCTTCTCATAAGCATATACTTTGTGGCCAGAAGCACAGATATGTAATATAAATATGTGTTAGAAGAGTCAGCACATACTTATGGGGGGTGGGAACGAGGGTGGGGAGTACTTAAGTCTCTACTCACAGTCTATGTATAGCTCTTAGCAAAGGATGGGCATTATGTGAAAGGGTATGGCACAAACAGGGCCAGATGAGATTTGGGCCTCCGTATTTTCTAGCATTCGTCTACCTCTGCCCTATCAGGGGGCTGTCTTTGAGTACAAAATGCCAACATTTCAGAGAGAAAAAAAAAATGCTTTGCTACTCTGGCCACAGAGAATGAGGTCTGAAGGAGAGGGAGGCAATCTGGACCGTACATGTTTCCATTTGGGGGTGAGGTATTAACTAACACATAAAAGAGAGCTGGCCTTAGGAACACCTTTCCCTGCAGTTCCTAAGGCAACCTATTTAATAACCAAGGAAGCTTTCTCTGCCTTGACAACACGAATGACGCTAGAGATTTGTTTTGTTGAGGGAAAAGAATGTTTTTTAAGGGGGAAATAACCAGATTTTTAAAACACTGTGGTTCTCTGAGGGTTGTAGAGTCAGCTACTCCTCCAGCTACATTTTAAAACTATGTATATATGGTTATGGAAACAAATTTTAAATGGTTTAAAAACTCCTATACAATCTTTTCTTTGTAAATACGGTCTTTTTATTGAATAGCAAGCTGCTAGGAGAAAGGAACAATATTTGATGTATTTGTCAGAAGAAATATGTAAAATATGCACTGATAATTGTTGCTATTATACTACTGTTTTAAAGGTCTGTTTTCTATTCTCTTTATAGGGAGTGGCTGATGCTTGCAAAATGATGGGGGAAAAGAAGTTTTACCATCAAGTTATGGAAGATGAACATCTTTTCCAGAAATTCAAAATAACTGATGAAATAGATATTGTCACCCTGAAAGATTACATGCAAGTAAGGAATTGAGATTTAGATATTAGAAACAACAATTTAAAAAAATCTTCTGGGGGTATCTGGGTGGCTCAGTCGGTTAAGCGTCTGCCTTCGGCTCAGGTCATGATCTCGAGGTCCTGGGATCAAGCCCCTTGTCCCGCTTCTCCCTCTCCCTCTGCCCCACCCCCCTCATGCTCGCTCGCTCTCTTTCTCTCTCTCAAATAAATAAAATCTTTTTTAAAAAATAATCTTTTAAAAAGCCTCCTGACCTTGTCCTCCAAGAAGAAAGCTTCATTCATTTTTTTCACTATAGAAAAATACACACAATATAAAATTTACCATTTTAAATGGTACAATTCAGTGACATTAAGTACATTCACAATGTTGTGCAAACACCGCCACTATCTAGTTCCAGAACCTTTTTGTTGCCCCAAAAGGAAACCTCACATCTATTAAGCTGTCACTCCCCATTCCTCCCCATCACTCCAGCCCCTATCAACCACTAATCCGTTTTCTGTCTCCTTGAATTTACCTATTCTGGGTAGCTTGTATTAATGGAATCATATAATATTTGGCTTTTTGCATCTGGGGAGTGATAGCTAATGAATGTGGCCTTTCTTTTGGGGGCAATAGAAATGTTTTGGAATTAGTAGTGCTACTTTTAAAATGGTTAAAATGGTGAATTTTATATGATGTGAAATCAAGTACATGGTTTTGAAAGAGTGTATGATGGAGATTTGACCTAGTAAGGAAGGGTTCTATTAATATTTGGATTATAATTTGGATGCTTTGTGCTACAAGTGACAGACTCCCAACCACAAGAGGCTTAAACAACAAAGGACGTTTATTGTCCCATGTCAGAAGTCCACAGATAGGTGGGTCCTGGGCTAGCTAATGCAGCAGCTCAAGGACATCAGGGTTCTGGGTCAGCTTCTCTACCGTGCTTCACATGGTGACAAGATGACTATCACATTCTTAACTTCCTTCAAAGGCAGGAACAAGGGGACTCTGAAGCATCGTTTTCCTTTTTATCACAAGAAGAAAAATCTTTGGGGGTACTTGGGTGGCTCAGTTGCTTAAGCATCCAACTCTTGATCTCAGCTCACGTCTTGATCTCAGGGTTGTGAATTCAAGCCCTGGGTTGGGCTCCACACTGGGTGTGGAGCCTACCTTAAAAAAAGAAAAAGAAAAAAGAAAAATCTTTGCCAGAAGCCCCCAACAGACTTCCCCTCAGGTCCCATTGGTCAGAACTGGATCACATACTCCCCCTAACCTAATCACTGATAAAGGGAAATGGGATCATTTTCCATGATTGACTTAGAACAATCATGGTTCATGTGCTGGGGCCCTCCTTCCTGGAACATATTGCTGTTCCATACTTGAAAAAAAAAAAAAAATCCGGGCTCTGGAGGCAAGGGAGAAGTGGGAAATGGTTGATGGGCAGGCAATCAACAATGTGTCACAGCGTCAGTCCGGGGCTGAGCAGGTGTTGCGCCCCAGGCAGAGGCTCTGTGGCAGGAGGAACTGCAGGGCCCGAAAGCAGGTCTGTGGGGTAGAGAAGAGGGAGCAGAAGGTTTGGTATGTAGGCAGCCTGGAGGGCTGGGAAGAGAGCATCAGGCAGGCCTTTTGACCACAGCAAGGTGTTTTTCTTTTTCTTGATCCTGTGTGCAAGTAGAAGCTGATGCTTCTTAATGGGTTGAGAAATGAGGTGATCTAACCTAATGAGTGGAGAGATCTGTCTGGCTGCAGTGTAGGGAATGGATTAGAGGATAGCAAGAGCCTTCTCCTAGTTTGGATGTGCCTGCTGTATCTCAGGAGAAATGGCGGTGTCTTGGTGGAGGGCTGTGAGGCTGGAGACACGAGAGGTAAGTAGAGAGTAAAAGCAGTGAGCCCTGGTGACAGACGGGGGCCAGCTAAGGAGAGGTGTCCAGCATGGCCCCTAGGTTCCTGGTTTGCATAACAGGCTGGACAGCAGTACTAAGTCACGAAACTTAAACTAGATACCTGATTAATAATAATAGCAAATGCTCAGTAGTGCCAATTCCTTTTCTTCTCATCACAACCCTAAGAGGTAGGTACTATTATTACCACCATTTTACAAGTTCTAAAGACGCAAGAGATCCCAAAATTCTGGCTCATAATAATAATAATATATGGCCTTAACTGTTCACTCAGTTGCTTCATTGTGACACATGAAGTTAATGCAGTGCCTTAGAGACTCCCAATTATGCTTTATTTCCTTTAGAGTCTTAACCTGGAAAATGAGGGGATTGAACCAGGAAATAAGTAGCGCTTGGGGATGCCAACTATCTTTGCTAAGGACATGGGTCACATACTTGCAGAGTGTGACTATGCCAAGAATTGGTGTCATAGGAAGAAGTCCCAGATAGACGTGTTGGGAGAAAGAAACTTGATGATTGCTGACTTTTTTTTTTTTTAAAGATCTATTTATTTATTTGACAGAGAGAGACACAGCGAGAGAGGGAACACAAGCAGGGGGAGTGGGAGAGGGAGAAGCAGGGAGCCAGATGCGGGGCTCAATCCCAGGACCCTGGGATCATGACCTGAGCCGAGGGCAGATGCTTAACGACTGAGCCACCCAGGCGCCCCAGATGATTGCTGACTTTTATTGAGCCCCTTATGGAAACAGCACTGTTGTTGGCTCTTTTTAAAAAAAAAAAAAAAAAAAAAAATTATTTGAGAGAAAGAGACAGAGAAACAGAGCACAAGCAGGTGGAGGGGCAGAGGGAGAAGCAGACTCCCCACTGAGCAGGGAGCCTGACACGGGGCTCCACCCCAGGACCCTGGGATCATGACCTGAGCCGAAGGCAGAAGCTTAACCGCTTAACTGACTGAGCCACCCAGGCGCCCCTTGTTGGCTCTTTTTGTGCATATTATCTCCTTTAATCTTCAAGTGTGTAAATTATGTGACCCTTTAACAGATGAGAACAATGGAGTTTAATAAGATTTTTAAAAACTTGGGGCACCTGGGTGGCTCAGTCGTTAAGCGTCTGCCTACAGCTCAGGTCATGATCCCAGGGTCCTGGGATCGAGCCCCGCATCGGGCTCCCTGGTCCGCAGAGAGCCTGCTTCTCCCTCTCCCTCTGCCTGCCGCTCTGCCTATCTGTGCTCTCTATGTCTCTGTCAAATAAATAAAAACTAATGATGTAATGTATGGTGATTAACATAACAAAAAATTTAAAAAAGAAAAAAGAAAATCTTTAAAAAAGATTTTTAAAAACTTGCCCAAAGTCACATATCTAAGTGCAGAGCAGGTCATTGACAGTTCTGAGATGTTTACTCATTTTACTACTCCACTCTCAGCAGGTAAAATATACAGGCAGTCCTCACTTTGTGCGGTAGTGCAGGGCCATAAAATGACCGTTCAGGGGCGCCTGGCTGACTCGGTCGGTGGAGCGTGCAACTCTTGATCTCAGGGTTGTGGGTTCAAGCCCCACATTGGGTGTAGAGATTTTTTAAAAATAAAATCTTTTAAAAAATGACCTGAAACCATGCAAACCAAACTTAATACTCAATGTGAAAAATCATGATTGTTCCATGCCTTTCAGAAAAATCTTGTCAAAACACTAAAAACTCTCTTATTGTCTGTTATAAATATATAGGAAAACGAAAAACAAAACATTTGTTATGCTATAATTTAAAACATTGGAAACATTGAGGAGGAAAAGTGTTTTATTTCTTCGTAAAAAACTTATCAACTGTAAATGTACTAAAAACCATTGAATTATATACTTTATATGGGTGAATTGTATGGGATGTGAATCTCAATAAAGCTTTAAAAAGCAGTGTATGAGGAGTAGTTTAAACAGTGCTTGCTTTCTTGTTCTTCTCATATAGCTTACAGTACATAGTGAGCATCTTTTCCATGCCTTGGTGAATTGTCACACTCCTAAGTTCGGATTACCTACCAACATTTTATCCTTTACACATTAAATGTGAAATCTCTCAAAGTTCCTGTAATGTGAAGAGTCTTTTTGTCAATGTCACTTCCTCTGGGACAGCTTCATCCTTTTCGTCACAACCACTTTCCTCATTTATGCTGCCAAGTTCACCTTCAGCATGTTCCTCTAGCTGCCCACCCTCAGTCTCTTGAATGATGGCCGTGTCAATATCCCCTCGTCACCTATTTCTTCTAGAACTCCCATTTACCTTTGATTTGAATTTCATTTCATTTTGGCTTCTCTTTTGGCCTATTCTTTTGATTATCTTTTATTTATTTATTTATTTATTTATTTGGTAAAATGGCACAGGGGTTTATCACTGGGAGACAAAGAGGTGATACAACTAAATAACAGATCTTCAGTGATGACCAATTGCTGACACTTTGGAGGAAGGGACATGATTTGTCACTCATCACCACACACATCTGTTATTTCTGTAGTGATCTATGGACTGGAGAGCTGTCAGCAAAGTTTGTACTTTATGCAGTTAAGTTATACTGGGGAAACTGAAATTTGAGACAAGTTGTTGGACTGGGCTTATTCAATCAAATGGTAGTAAGTAAAATTTGTGCATGCCTAAATGATACAAAAGAAAGACTCCTTGTATATGTGTGTGTGTGCGATATACCCTAAATGCCTAGCTGATAAGCATTGTAGATCCTCCGGCCCTATTCCTATGTCTTAAGTGAACATTTTATAAGGTTGCATCAATTATATATATTTGCACTTTAACATTCCTAATTTGATATTTTAAATTAAAAAAATAAATAAATATAAGTGGGATTTCTACAAAGCTCCAAATGAAAATCGTGAAATTCGCCACTTAGTACCAGAGGTGAACTCATTATTCTTTTTTTTTTTTTTTTAAAGATTTTATTTATTTATTTGACAGAGAGAGACACAATGAGAGGGAACACAAGCAGGGGGAGTGGGAGAGGGAGAAGCAGGCTTCCCGCCGAGCAGGGAGCCCGATGTGGGGCTCGATCCCAGGACCCTGGGATCATGACCCGAGCCAAAGGCAGACGCTTAACGACTGAGCCACCTAGGTGCCCCGAGAACTCATTATTCTTATAAAAAGGTTTGTGCAAATGTCCTCTCAACCCAAGCATGTTATGAACAAGCACTACCAGGTATGCAGATCATGTATTTGGCATTAAAATGTTTATTCATTAAATAAAATAAAATGTTTATCATTAAATAAAGATTTAGTGAGTGTGGTACTATGAGCGTGATACTGCGTAATGAGGATCATGCCTTCTCGGGGGGGAGCTAAGTACACAGACAGCTAAAACATCAAGTAGTCAGGAATAAGCCATAGAAGAAAGTAGCTGATAAAGTTCAGAGATGGGATCAAGAAATGCTTTTTGGATGAAGTGACAATGGATATTTGAACCTTGGGAAATGTGTCTAAAAACATTCTGGAGTACCCACAACTGATCATTCTTACTTGTTTTTTCCATATAGTATTCCAGTCTCCTGGATGAGACCCCTGCATCTTCTGGTGGCAGAAATAACTACTGGCGAAAATTAAACCTCAAAAACATCCCCAGGACAATGATAATATATGACATAGTTGATTATGCAGAGTCTGGAATAATCTCAAACCGTCTACAAAAAGAAATGAAGTATCTATTACGGAGACCACAAACAGAAGAGATGCGTCAACACCAGCTACAGATTGTTTCTGAAGTTAGGTAAAAGTGATATTTTAATGGGGTCACAATACTAGGGGCATTTCTGAAAATGTTCACATTCTGCCAAATAGCTCATGAAAGATAATAATAGGGCATATGGGGAAAATAGGGTTGAGGCAGATTGCTCAAAATGTAGGCATCTTTGTAAACAGAGCACTAACAAAAAGGACAACTGGAACCTGGGGAGATAACTCGTACCACCAGACAGGCAGCTCAGGACGGCTGGAGGCCACCACAGCAAATATAAAAAATGCACAACGAGAGAGCAGAAACGCTGGCCTCTCTTTAATTAGAGCAGGCAGTGGGTACGGAGATAATGCAGATAGAAGTAGAGCCCTGGGCTAGTGTGGTTGCCTTTTAAGTGGACATGAGAAGCAGTGCAACCTGCCAATAAGCAACCCCCCCTCCCAAGGCAGGGAGCATGGGGGATGGCAGTCAGGGGGGACTGGGGGGTGGGGGGTGCCTCTGGAGAGAGAGCCCTAGATGCAGGTGCTAATTCTTGTTTTCATAAATACAGCCAAAAGGGCTCCCATTGCCTGTGCTGCACACAACTGAGGACCTTTTCCTTTTCTGCTGAAGGTTATAATTCTACTCTTGTGATTCCGGCTCCCCTTGCTGAGGACAAATTGCATATAAATTACAGTGACATTGTTCCCTTCTTTAGCAATAGCATGTGAGCCAATTCACATTATAGAAACTCATGTTGTAGCAAAATAGACTGTATTATGATCTGAAACAATACGGACAGAATATGACTCCTCCAATTATACTCCTTTTTTCTTTCCATTACAAGTCTCACCTAGCCCATCTTATTTACAAATGAAGCTTTCTTTCTTAAGAAAAAAGAAAGAGATAATCAGATTGAAGAGGATCTATTGGTAGTCTATTTCCACAGAGTCATATTTGAAATGAAAAAATACTCCTTTAGTACATGAAGACACTGGTCATCCACTGTCAGGCAAACACACTGGGTTTTTTCCAGGGCTAGAGATGAGTGGTGCTGACCCAATAATATAATTTAGCCCATATATTTTATGATCAAGGCTATACATTTGCCAGACAGATGGCCTGGTGTAGGGTGTCGTCTGTCATCATGAAATAGATTTTCTCTAACTCATCTATATAAGCACTGAATATAGAACTTAACCCTATTACCACCAAGGTCAAATAAATGATATAATTTTCCCTGCCACCATATATAACCCTAGGTTCCCTGCTGTTTGGACTCTTGCTAGTGATTATCTAAGAATGAGTCATCTGAAGAGCCAAATGAAGTAGCCAAATCCTAAATCAATTAAAGAGGGAAAAGTACTTTCTTACAGGTTTCTTTGAATGCAGTGTTAGTTTGGGATCTCCCAGGAGATCAAATATTTGGATATGAGTAGTCTATTTGGGAGGTGATTCCCAGAACCACTGATGAAAGGGAAACAAGGAGGGGCAGGCAGCCAAAACAGCGTGTGTTAGCAAACAAGTTACTTCTGCGGGTAAGTGGAGCTTAATCCCTTCTGGGAATGTCCACGCCATCGCAGAACGTGCAACTCAAGTTATCCTGCGGGGGCAAGGGAGTTGGGATATTTATACGCCGATGTACATCAGGCACTGGCTAAGGACTGTTTAGGAGGGGAAGTATTAATTCTCAGGCACTTTCCCCGCACATGGGCCCTTGTTTTCACAAGAAAGCTGTTATGCTGAGCGAGGCTGATGCTGGTGGTTGGAAGTTGGGCCTTTGTGCTTTGCAGTGGTGAGGCCTAGGGGGCTATGGGCACGACACCATCTGTATCTGATCCCAACACTGATAAGAACAGCTTGTTTTCTCAGCCATTATGAAATTTAACACCTTTTTGTGTTAGTATATGGTGTGTGTGTGTGTGTGTGTGTGTGTGTGTGTGTATAATTCAAATGACTACTACATGGTATTTTCCAGGAAAACTGATTTTAAATTGATACCGTGTTTTATAATTTTCATCATCATCGTGATCCACATCATCATTTTTACACCTTCATATGGCACAAATAAAGAACTACACCATATAATTTAAGCAGAAATGATAACTCTGGCCTAAAAACTTGCATGCAATATGGCTCCAGATACTGAGGCCTATGATCTAGTTGCTGGAAGATGCTTTAATAAAATTTGCAACTTGCTTTACATTTAAATGTTATTTGGTGCATTTTTTTCCTGTCTGTAATTCAAATCTTTTCTAGATGCCCTTCATCCTTTTCAGCTATCAAACCTTTATATCGGCCCTACCAACAGCAGAATCAAATGAAACATCTGGGTCGTCGATCCAAGCAAGCTCAAATGAAAGTTGAAAAAATGAAAAAAGCCTATAAGATGGCTAAAGAAAAAACTGCTTCCATGGGGATGGTAAGTTAAACTTGTACTGAATTCATTGTTTTGGACACTATTCAAACTGTAAGTCATTCTACTTATATAAGTAGAATTTCCTAATCTACAAGTTCAAGGCTGAAACACCTTTGGTATGTACTTGGATAGTATAAAGCTGTGTTCCTCTTGGTAACATATGTTTTAAAAATTCTTCAACAGTATGGCTGACCTGATAAATACCGGCTGTTTTGGCTCATCTAATATGAGGGGGCCAACAACAGTAGTCTCTCTATGTTGACACTGTTGATTCAGCACATCTCAAATGGTGCTTTTCTCAAAATAAGTCATTTCTATCCAAGCTTATTAAAAACTGTATGTGTAAAGTCGGCCTCAGTACATTCCGACATGGTAGGATATTTGCAACTAACATGTATTCACATATTGCTTTGTCATTTTTTTAAAATCTGCTGTAAATGTTTGGAGACAAGGCTAAGTATAAACAGCCAGTATAAAAACAGAAAGTAGTAAAAACCAAATGTAAAATCCTTTCCTCTTTTGTTTATACTTCTACCTAGGAACCACAAACGGACACACGAGGTACAAAGCAGCGACAGACAATCATCTTCTCTACCCCACCTTTTGACATCGTGAAAGTTGATGAGCTCATGCCAGATGAGGAATTGGAAAAACAAGAAAAGGAGTTGTTCGCCTGGTATCAAGACTTGTATATTAATAGTCCTCCGTCATCTTAATGTGTAGCTAACTGATAGAAAGCCAAATTATTTAACAATCTGCTTGTCTTGCTAATATGCATATTAAAGGAAAAGGAAATACATAAACAAGCCTTCAGGATGCTCTCTTAACCAAATGTGTGACCGATTTTTAAGCCCTTTTAGTATTACCATAAGTACTAATATTTTTTTACTGAGAGAATTTTAATCTGAATAATGATTTCTACTAGATGCCCTCGAATTAGCTGTATACGGTTTTACTCAAGAAATGATGAGTAAATTAGTCCCTGGAACTTTTACTCAATTTTGATTTTCCTTTGTTTTTAAAAACATCTGAACAGGCGTTGTTTAGCATAAATATTAGAATTCACAGAATAAAAGGCTATTCTTGAGTCAGCTTCCAGTGCCTTTTTTTTTTTTAACTGGCATGTCGTTTTTACAGAGCACTTTTTGATTGACCTATTCTGAATTATAATAAAACTAATACTGAATTCGTTACTACAGTAGGCGTGACGTAGCATACCTAATCATTATGGAGGATCGCAAGGACCTGGGGCAGAATGTCTCATCTGCTTCAATGCTGTATTTGGGTATTTTTCAAGTATAAAAATTGTTTTGAGTAATATTTATCAATCTCCTTTTGAATTGATTATTTTATTCCTGATACAGTACAAATTATTGATCCTTTTTTGTGATCTAGGCTGTTGGATTATATCAAACCTTACCAGGGACTATGATAATTAAACAAAGTGCATTCTTTATTGAACTTTAAAAATACAATTTTTTATTTTGGTTAACATGTAAGATATGGAGGTTGATTGCTGATTTAACTCAGGCAAGCAGCCTATAAATGGATCTCGTTCTCTGTAAAAACATTCTCTTAAATGATAAGGAATATTGGAGTAAATGTGTATGATTCCCACTAGAATATAGTTAACATAAACATGTACTCTACCATATTAATATATTATCATTTGATACCCAAAAATAGGATGGATAATCCCCTGGTTTTCAGAGCTTGTACTGGACGCCGGTTGAATAGAAAACACGTATTTGTCCTCATGAGTCACACATACTCATTCGTTAAATTGGGAAGCAGCCCCTCATCCAGTCAAACGTATATGGGGTTCAGTCTACCCATAGTATGTGCAGTAACAAAGCTAAGGAAGATTTCAGGTAACAAGATGAAAGAAAAAGACAAAGGAAATATTCTCGTATTTCATTAGCTCTGACTTTGTCCCATTGTAAGGCCTAGCTACAAGGGAGGCTGGGAAGTGTACACTTGTTTTGGGCAGTTCTGTACCCAACTAAAATGCTATTGTTATAAAAGGATAATGGATATTAAGGCATAAGTAGCATCAGCTGCCAGACAGAGATCAGGTCTTCTATTGATTATTTTAACTCACATTAAACAGTATAACCACATCACAGAAAATCTTTTTAAAGGTAGAATTACACATAATCTCATCACTGTAATATAACAACTGTTTTCATTTGCTTATATCTTTCTAAATACATATTTTCACTTGGTTGTAGTCATAAATACAATAGATTTAAAATTTCTACTTAATATATTATACCTTAAACATTTAAAAAAGTAATTTTTAATGGCCACATGATAGCCCATTGGGTTGATGTGGCATAATTTACTTAACCATACCCATATCATTGGATAATTCCGTGATTCTAATTTTTCATTGTTGTTGCTAATTAACCCTAGAGTGCATATCTTCATACAGTCTTTTTTCTTTCAGTTATCTTTCTGTTACTTATTTTTGACCTAATTGCACTGTAATCAGAATACATGGTTTGTATGATACTGATTCTGGGAAACTTGTTGACTTTATAGCTAAGTATATGGTCAGTTTTCATAAATGTTTCTTGCACTCTGAAGAAAAAATGTACATTTTTCTCTGGTTGGATACAAGATCCTATTCATGCCCTTTTGATCAAGCTTATTAATCAGATTATTTATATTTTCTATATACTACTAATTTTTGGTCTATGTGACAACAGTTACTAACAAAGGTATATGTTATATCAGTTTCTCCTCATACTTCTGTCAATTTTTGCTTTATGTTATTTGAAGATATCATTAGGTACACATATAATTTCAGAATTAGTGTCTCTTCCTGACAAGTTGAATGTTATCTTTATGTAGTTACTATCTTTATTCCTTTTAAAAATATATATTTATTTATTTGCTTGCTGAGCAGGGAGCCCGATGCAGGGCCCGATCCCAGGACCCCGAGATCATGACCTGAGCCAAAGGCAGACACTTAAACAACTGCGCCACCCAAGCATCCCGCTATCTTTATTCCTAATAACCCATTTTGCCTTGAAAACTATTTTGTCCAATATGAACAGAGCTACTCTAGCTTTCTTCTGGTTAGTGTCTGCCTAGCATATCCATTTCCATCTTTTCATATTTTCAATCTTTTTATGTGTCAGAGACTGGCTAGATGCTCACTAATTCCATTTCTTCTTCCTGGAAACACAGGAAGAAGCCCAGCCTCTGCAGTTATGTTGGGACCACTGAGGAATGTAGACAGAAGCAATGTATGCCACTTCCAGGCTTGGCCCCTAAAATGCTGTGCATAGTCTTAAATGTGCTCTCTCCCCTGCTCACATGGCTCAAGGCAAAGAACTCCAAGATGGTAGAACTAGGATCAACAGATACCAGATTCCCATGTCACTGATTGAAGGAGTGACAGCCAAAGCAGGAACCTTACCTGATGAACTATGATGTGAGCAAAAATTAAACCTTGTGTTAAGCCCCAATGAACTTAGGGGTTGTTTGTACCAGCAGCTAACATGAATTATTCTGATATACCACGTCTTTGTATTTTAGGTTTTCTCTAGGATACAACAAATATCTGGATTGTTTTGTTTTGTTTCATTTTAGTCCAATCTGAGGATATCTTTCTTTTGACTGGTGAGTCTAGAACATTTACACTTTATTGTGATTTTAATTAGTTGTTGGTATGTGGAATTCTCTTTACCATTTTATTTTGTGATGTCTATCCTGCTTTTTCTGTATCTTCTCTGCTTCCTATTTTCTTTCAGATTATGCTTTTGATTCCATATTTTCCCTTCTATTGGTTTGGAAGTTGTATACTCTATCTCTCTTCTTAGTTATTACTCTTAAATTTCAGCATGTGTACTCAAAATCTAAATCAATAGCTCCACTCCTCCCAAACTATCCAAGGCCTTAGGATGGCTAATCACCATCCTCTTGTCTTAAAAGTTATTGTTATCTAATATTTTAGCACCATCTTATTTTTAACCTCCAAATGAGACGTTCTTGTTGTTCTATAAATCTCAGACTTTCCTTCTGGGATCATTTCTCTTTATCCTAATGTATCCTAATCTTAAAAGCTCCTTTAATGAGCATCTTTTGGTGATAACTCTTTCAGATTTGGGTTTTCTGAAAATGCCCTCATTTCACCCTATTCTTAAATACATCATTTAAGTAGGTGTCAAATTCTACCTAGATGGTGGTTTTCTCTCAGCAATCTAAAGTTATTGTTCCGTTGTTGCTGCCAGGCTAGTTCCTTTTAGATGATCTCTCTTTTCTCTCTGACAACTTTTAAGATTTTCTCTTTGCATTTTGTGCTCTTCAGTTATACGGAAGATTAATTCTCCCACATTCTCTCTCCTCTATGTCTCCATTTTTTCTCACTTTACTGTCCTGTGAGAGTCTGGCTTTATGCAGACATCTCAGTTCCAATTCCCTACCTTCCCTGAGTCCAAGATCTTGTCTCCCACATACATGAGGTCGTTAAAACCCAAGACTTTAGGTTCCTGAGAGTGACGAATGTGCTTGGAGTCATCAGTCACAGACCATAGTTTGGAGCTCCCTCTTTATCTTTCACTCCCAAGGATTTTCCTTCTTATAAGCCTAATGATAGCTTTTTTTTTTTTTAAAGATTTGTTTATTTTGGAGAGAGTGAGAGTGGGGGGAGGGGGAGGGGGAGAGGGACAAGCAGACTCCATGCTGAGCACGGAGCCCAAACAGGGCTCCATCTCAGGACCCTGAAATCATGACACAAGCGTAAACCAAGAGTCAGATGCTTAGTCTGACTGCACTACCTAGGCACCCCTCAACAATGCCTTTTAAAAGATGTTTTTCTGTATTTTATTTAGGGTTTCTTTGGTTTTTGTGGTGGAATGGTTTTTCAGAATATTTAGTCCACCATTTTCTCATCATAAATGAAAGTCCACATTGTCACTTCTTTCTGTTGAATTATATCCTCAGGATAAAATCTTGAGAGTGGTTCTACTTACTGCATCAGAGATTTTAAGCATTTTTATAGCTGTTCACATGCATTGTTGGATTGCTTTCCAGCCATTCTCTTCTTGAGTGGTGAGTACTATATTTGTTTATTCATCCACTTCATGGAGGCAGAGTGGTATCAGTAGAATATGGGCTCTGAATCAATCAAACTTGGCTCTCCCTCTCCCTACCCCATCTCTCTCTCTCCTTCCACTCTTCACGTATATCGAGAATAGAGAAATATTTTCCTTACAAGTTTTGTTGTGGTTTGAGATGTGAGAGAATTAAAAAAGAAGGCACCACTTGAGAAGGAGAGAACGAAGATACACGTAGAACTTCTGGCTAAAAATGCTGGCTTCAATATCTATCTTAGTTTCAGCTCCATCCTCAAACCCCAATAAAATTATAGTAAAGAGATTTTTTTAAGGCATAAGCTTTCAATGATAAAAAGAGAACAGAGGGAACAGAGACAAAATTTTGTCAGTTGGAAAACTTACAAATGATAGTTGACATAGCAGTTCTGAGAAACTAACTTAAACTGGCCTTGAGGAAGACTAAGAAACCACTTTACACCATGGACCCCCCACAAGACTCAAGAATTGGCAACAGCTAACAAGTTACCTTTGGAAGTGAAGGGTGAAGGAAAAGGATTTGGCTGAAGATCTGTGTAAGAAGTAGTTAGAACACCAAATCCCTTTCCCGGTTACGGGTTGAATTGTGTCCTGTCCTCTCCCTGAGAAAAGATGTTTTGAAGTCCTAACCGGCAGTGTACCTCGGAACGTGACCTTATTTGGAAATAGAGTTGTGGCAGATGTAATTAGTTAAGATGAGGTCATACTAGAGTAGGGTGGGCCCCTAATCCGTTTGGACTGATGTCTTCAACAGAATCAGTTAAAACAGGAATTGAAGTGGTTGCCTCGAAGGATCAGAAAATGGGGGAAAGAGAGGCAGAGCCTAGTGGATTTTATAATAATCATTATAGAACTATATGACCTTTAAAACTCTGTGCAAGTATGCATTTGATTTTAAAAACTAAAAAAAAAATTTTTTTTAAACACAAGAAAGCAGGAGAATTGTTGGGAGAGAGAC